TCATATGTAATCATGGACCACTAAGATAAATGTTATAGCGTTAAATTAAAGTCGTGTGAATCATTTAATATCTTTAAAATATCGATCGAAATATTTGATATCTTCAAACATTTGATCACTGCTAATCAGCTCTTACACTATTTATCACTGTAGATTTGGTTGATTTGCATTGTCGACTATTTTTCATGAAAGAACAATGGAAGGTAGGGTCTCCAACGTTTATGTTCGTTTATGTTCGTGTTCGTTTATGTTCGTTTATTTATTAAGTGAACAAACATGAACAAGTTATATTCCTTAATAAACGAACATGAACAAAAAAAAAATTGTTCGTTTATGTTCGTTTATTTATTAAATGAACGAACATGAACATACCTCCGTTCGTGTGCGTTCGGTTCGTTTACATGCCTACTTTAAACTGAAAAAACAAAGACCAAATTCAGAGCAACATTTATCAGGCCTTGAAGTCCAACAACACATGCCAAAATGTCCACTTAAACAGTTATAATATTGACCCAAACACCCACCAGAATTACTCATTCACTCGCCTTAAATTACAGATTTTAATATTAGAAATTACATATAAAAAAGTTTAATATTTTAAATAATGAAAAATTCTATAATACACGTCGCACATCGAAACACACCACTAATGTGACATATTATAATAGTTGTAATTTTTTGTGTGATTAGTCCATGTCAACAGAGAAGATGAACAGGCGCAAATATACGTTGAAGAACGTGATTTTTCAGCATCGGCGGTTAGTTTTGATGTTGTTGATGGGATGATTTTACAAACTTAAATAAATTAAGTGTTCTAACCCTAAACAAATAAAAATTCTTTAAAAAATTATAATTTAATTATATTCATATTAAATTAAAATTAAATAATAATAAAAGTTTAAATAAGGATAGGTCATTATATTTTTTGTATTTATTTAATAAGGACAACTTAGTTAATAGTGTACATCGATGTGTCACATTAATAGTATGTTTCAGTGTGCGACGTGCACTTTAAACTGTTACTTAAATAAGTAATTATAAGAAGATTACGATTATGCGTTATTTGAGAGTTAATCAACGTACGAATTTTATCACGAATTCTTGGAACTAAAACAAATAAAGTTGAGTCATACAACTCCAATCCGGCTATTTTAATTGCAAAGCTAGTGTTGGTTAAGCAATTAAAGAGCTATAAGTGAACACATCATTTCCCACTTCCCCTGCTTTTAAAGGAATTTGATAGGATAGACCGGTTGGCGTGTGGGGATCAATGTTAATATATGTTGTTAAATCTTTAATTTTGTCCACAAATTATTGGTAACGGTAAATAATTTGCATTATTCTCGGATCTTGATTCACGTTAAATCTAATCCTAACCCTACTTAAAAGGGAAAGGAAGGAACGAGAGTGCTACTAGTGAATCTAGAATCCATGACCTAATGGAATACGAGAGATAAAAAATGAACAGCTTGATCAACCGGTCAAATGTGTTTACTCGTTAAGAGAGGTTCTAAACGACTGCAATAAATGAGTGAAAAATTACTTTTTAACTTCCAACTTGTGACAACACCAAATTATTAAGTCTTCTAATTGTTAATGGGTTAACAATCCAATACTTACCTCGAAACTCAAATCAAAATTCCGTAACAAAATCAATATGAACTCTAAACTAGTTACATTCGAAATAATTTATTTAAAAATTAAAAATTAAAAATCCTAAAATAATCGATGTCCGAAGTTTAAGTCTCGCTATATGTATTCAAATTAGGGTTCTATTTTGGTGTCTTGTTATCATGTTATGTTAGTTTTTGTAATTGTATTTAATAAATATTTTTATCGAATTTATCCTTTTTAACGTCATTATGTTTACGTAGTGATATTAAATTGACTTTTTATATAAATATTAATTTACTAAGTGCTACTAAACATTCGTTAATAATTTATTATATTATTGTTAATTTTTAATTAATGTTCCATCTGTCTGTATCGGTTAACCGACCCTTATCTCATTAACCCTTGTAGAGTTGAAAACAAGGGAAATTAAAAGGAAAAAAATATCACACTTGACAATTATTTAATAAAAATGTCAAATTCTAATATTAGTTTATGTATTATATTCATAGGTTTAATATTTAAATCCTAATTTATTTATTTTTAATTTATGAAATCGTTTAATTTTTTATTTTTGATTTTGATCCAAATAATAAACATTAAGTATATTTAATTAAATTATACTATCGATTTATATATTATGTGTAAGTTGAATACTTAATTCGTATTCTTTAATTACATCATCCTCAATCTATGTAATTTTTTTTTATTGTTATTAGGCTGACAAATGTTTTAAAAAAGCGGTTTAAGAATTTTAAAAAGAAAATGTGTGAAAAATTATGATTTTTTAAATTTAAACATTTAGTATTAATATCAATAGATATTGTCAATACGTTCCTGTTAAAATCTAGCGTCAATTAAAAAAATTGGGATTTTGTAAAAATATTTGCCTCGAATAAGTTGAGACTCAAGTTTAAAAATAATAAAATCGGTTCGTAGAGTCGCCACTAATCTTTGATTAAAGTATGATTAGACACTCAAACATATTTGTCATTTTAATAAAAAATATTAATTTTAATTAAAACAACAATTGTATGGTATGCGTTACCAAAAATTTGAGTTCGGGAGTCGGTTACGCGTGGGGAAAGATTATCACCCCCACAACACCCTATATTAGTACCTAATTAATTAATTAATTAATTGTCTTTGCAATAAATCTTACAATTTTGAATTTAATTTAATTTAAGATTCATTTTTTAACACAATCCTTGAATTTTAAGACGAAAAACGATAATATTTAATTATTTACTATCGAGAAGAAAATGTTCTCATGCCTTAAAGCAGCCATTTATTAATCTAATCGAAATGAAAAAAAATTACTATTCTATTCTAAAATTCATTATTAATTTAAATGTAGGAATGATAATAAAATAAAATTCTAAGATTCTAAGGAATGTTAAAAAGCAAAACATATAATTTAAAATAATAAAATAATATTAATATTAATATTAAATAATTAATAATTATAATAAAAAATAAAAAAACGATAAAAACCCCGGATAAAATGGATGTCTACATATATTTTTAAATTTAAAATATGCTTTAGATATATATTAAAAAGTAAAACATATAATTGGTGGAAAAAGATTAAAAATAAAAACAACTCTTTTAATAATATTATGCTCAAAAGTTATTCTCTAAAACTCAAAAGCACATTTGTTTTAATATTTTTCGTTTGGGTTAAAAAGTTGGTTTGAAAAGTATTACTCACTCTAAAACCACAATGCTTTTAACTTACAAATATATATAAAAAGTTTTAAATAAAAAAATTATAGAAATTTGGGAGAATTTAACTACGACAATGAAAAATATAATTTTTTTTATTTTTATAAATTACATCAAATAAAATTAGAAATATTTAAATCTTACTTTTTTTCCTCTTTATCAAATAAATCATATTATAAAATGTTTAAATAAAATTATGATAAAACTTGAATCTCAAGCTCTAGTATATGAATCGTGGCCGTCCGTCGGGTCTTAAACGTTGCAAATTAAAAGCAGAAGAGCTTCCAATTGAATGGCTTCGGATAGAGAGAATATAAAGCAGTTTCTGTCCATTAATTATAGTTTTAAAAAATAAATCAGAAATCCACACATAAAATAATAGTAATTTAAAAAATGGACGACAGCCATATAAAGAGGAAAGAAGTAGTGTGAACCATACAGGTGGACGAATCCATTATCCATCAACGCTACATCAACGTGTGGATTAGGACAATCCCTTTGCTTCCACTCCCTCTTCTCCCCCACATTCATTTCACCAACAAATCATTCATAAACTTTTGGCTTAATGTTCGATAGGTCTATAAATTTCGTTTTCTCCTTCGATTTGGTATCTGAATTTTAAAAAAAATCCAAATTGGTCTCTATTTAATTTAACATATCGACAATTAATCAGGTTGTTAACATGATATTAGTCGATCGAAATACTAATTTCAAGAACCATTGGAGTGGTTCCGGTCGTTAAAGGAATTTTGTTTTTTCAAGAAGACTTGAGTTTGAGCAGTGTAATCTGAACGTGTATGTTAGTTTAGGTTTAGATCTTTTCAAAAAATAATTTTCAATAAATTTTGCATGTTGTAATCTTATTGGTTGATGGAATTATGATTCGATAAAAAATCGATTAACCAAAAATTTAATTGAATCGTGATGTTTAAACAATTTATAGTTCATAAGTTGAAAATTTATGATTGTTTGAATCGAACTAAATTTTAATTTAACATTAATATTTACAATGTAAAAGTACGTATTTTATATTTAAAAATAATGAAATAACCTAAAAATATTATAAAATACTATTAATTATATTTTATTTACTTAAGAAATATTTTAAAAATATTTTAAAAAAACGACTTAAAATTTTATCATATAATGTTTAAAAGCCATAAAATAAAATTATTTTATTAAAATAAAGTATGAAAATTCAAAATACTAAAAAAAATAAGATTAATCGAACCAAAATATAAGGGATGATTCAAAAAAAAATTAAAAAAAACGAGTTTAAGTATCAAATTGATCCTAAAAAAGACTTAAAGTATGAAGTTGAGAAAAGCTGCCAACTTTAGGGAGTAATTCGTGTATTAAGCCAAACCTTTATATAGATTTTTGCCAACAGACGTCTTGTAAACGTTGCTAAAAGTATAAATTTTTGTCCTGCATAGGGAACTGCAGCCGAAGAAGCATTGAGAGATAAGAGCTGGTGGTACAGTACTGTTGGTGGGGTACCACAGCCCTTCACAAAAACAGAGAGCTTTAATTCTCGGCCATGAAAACAAAACTTGTCTCTTTAGTAAACTATAATTGACTTTGTAACCACTCGAACAACAACAAGCTTTAAGCTTGGGGTTTAAATCATAATTATTACACTCCCTCAAAGACCGGTGAAAATCACCACTCTTTTGCTACAATTATTTAAAGATTCTTACGTGTTCCATTGTTTAGAGAAAACCAATTTCTCAACCACAAGTTTCAACATTTATTGCTTCTTGGTATACCCCCCAAAAAAAAAATCACAGAACATTCGATCTTACTGGTTTATATATACTTGGGTATTTCTCTCCCAGCCTTCTTAGCTTTCCGTATCGTCTGAAAATGTGCAGAGGTTTACAACAAGATGGGAACAACTCGCTTTCTTGTCCGAAACAGGGTTTGTCTTCAAGGTTGGTGAACTGTGAGCTCTGCAATTCCAGGGCTTCCTTGTATTGTCAAGCTGACGATGCGTATCTGTGTAGGAAGTGTGATCAATGGGTTCATCAAGCTAATTTCTTGGCTCTCAGGCATATCAGGTGTTTCCTTTGTAATACATGTCAAAGTTTAAGTCAGAGATATCTCATCGGAGCTTCACAGGAAGTGGTGCTGCCGACGATGGCGAGCTCGTCGGAGAGAAAACGGTTTGATTCTGACATGGAAACTAAGCATTCAACGACGCTTAAAACACCTTTTCTTTTTCTCTGATTGTCACTTCTTCTTCTTCTGTTATGCAACTTTTGGTTATGGAGGATCTTATCTGGTTTGTCTGAGGTATCATTGAGGGTTTACATATATGTATACATGTAAGCTCGTATAGGTAAAGTCATGAATGATGTACTCCTCAGTGTTGTGTAAACCAGATTGACTTTCTCTCTCATTAGTGCATTTTTCTTATGCAAACTCACATTTAGCTTTCTTTCCTTTCTTTTTCCTCTTTAATTTGGAGTATAAATCACAAGAAATACGTTACTCAGACTCATTCGTGAATGTCAGACACAAGTATCAAGTATGAATATTTCAAGAATAATGAAGAATCTGAGCATTATAGGTGCAAAGGAGGAGAAACTAGTAGATTTAGTGCAAAACTAGTATGATTGTTGGTGGTTCATGGAAAGAGTATAAATCACAAGAAATACATTATGCAGACTCGGACGTAAATGTCAAACACGAGTATCAAGTACGGATATTTTAAGAAAAATGAAGAATCCGAGGTGCAAAGGAGGAAAAAGTAGAAGATTTAGTGCAAATTTTGTATGATTGTTGGTGCTTCATGGAAAGAGAGGTCTAAATTTACCTGCACCTATTAGTCATTCATTAGAAAAGTTCAAAAAATGTACTATAAATTGATTATTATGCATCAAATATAGGCTGATGCCTCAGGAAAAGCCAAATCTAGCTGATGTGTTATTGTCTTCCAATATCAATCTGAAAAATGTTATAGAACCGTTCAATTCACAGTGTGATCCAAATCATGATCCTGAGAAGAAGCAACAATCTGAAACTAAGCACTCACTATCTATGGGGTCCCCGGTAACAATTGAGGACAAAAATTGCTTTACGTCACAAAATGGGGTATGGACTGTGAAGTGTGGGGGCTAATCAGTAAGGGGAAAAGTTAATTGTCCCATCTGATTCATGATTTCATCAGATGATGCCTGCTTGGTGGATCCATAGTAGAATAACTCAGGTTTCTGATAGGTTGAAATCATGATGAGCCATTGCCCATGCTTTGGTTCTGTTGTCATCTTTCTGGTGTCCAAAAGGGTCATCTTATCCTATCATATAATATCGATGATTGATGGTCATAAAATTCTCTATTTCCAGCAATGGGATTTCTAATCATCGGTTTTCATGTTCTGAAATTCATACAGTTTCACCTCCTTAATCAAATCTCTATAATCGCTTACAGGATTCCCCTGGTACAGTTTCAGTTTGGTTAAAACCATCAAGAAAACAAATGTAGGGAAAGGAAGTCAAAACTTACAGTTTTCCATTGAATCCTAAAACTAATCATACTGATCCTTTTTCCAGGTAGCCAACATGTAAACCAGCTTGCATAATAACATCCTGATACAAAGTACAAAACTTAGGGGGGTTTTGCCCCACATTTTGTGGCATTTGATAATATGTTTCTGACAACTTCAGTGTTTAATGTCAGAATTGGTATGTATGCATGTATGTAGGTATGTAGGTATTACCCTTTTCCCTTCTGTCCTTTTCTTGTGCTTCATGGAAACTGAACTCAACTACCTCGAGCAATCTCCATGTTTCATTCTTCATAGTTAATGCCATCTGCAGATAAAAGAATTGTGCATGATAAAATATATAAAGTACTAAAAAATATGGAACAACCGAAAGAACGAATAGTGATTTATTATTCTGACAAAGTGCTACTCCTTATTTCGATTCGATGACAATGGATCGGTGATTATTACATGGAAAAGAGCTGGGTGCACCGTACAAAATAAGATAAACAAAATCGAGTTGCAACAAGGGTTTTGCCTTGTTCTTCGAAGATGAAAATGGCGACAAAACTTATAGAAGGATCTAAGTATTTATTAGTCTGTTGAAACAAACCGAAAGAAGAAATAGAGATTCATGATTCTGACGAAGTGCTACTCCTTATTTCAATTTGATGACAACGGATAGGTGCTTATTACATGGAAAAGAGCTGGGTGCACCGTACAAAATAAGATAAGCAAAATTGAGTTGCAACAAGAGCTTTGCCTTGTGCTACGAAGATAGAGATGGAGACAAAAGCAAGAGAAAGATCTAAGTATTTGGGAAAGGCAAAAGAAAATGCACCAAAGGTTGTTACTTCCAATGGTCTTTACATCCAGTTCGACATCTTGGAGTGTTTATCCTTTATGATTTCCTGCATATAACACAACAGCATAACATACTAAGTGGTGAAGTCGATATAAATTCCTTTTGTTTTTTCAATGGACAAATGAAACACAGAAAAGCATCAAGTCAATTTCATTAGTACGGCATGTAATCAGTGGTTTTACAAGAAAGTTTATTGTCAAGGGCCCAATTACCAATCACAAAGGAACTATAACACAAGCATAATTGAGGTTGTTCGTAGATCGTCAGGGAACAGATCAGTTAGCTCGAGTGTCCATAAACTCAAATGAGTTGAGGTGGCCAGCACAATATATCGACCAATGTACACATGAAACAGGCTTATGTACTGAAACGAAATAACCTTCATACTGAATGCAAACAATAACAGCTGCTCATACAGAGGATTGGGAGCAAGGGAGGGACCTATATCAGCATTAAGTTGGAATCTATGGTTTACTGCCCCTTTCGATAAACAAGAAAGAGTAACTAAACCTGCAACAAAAAGGTACAATTGACCTAAGTTGAGCATGTTTGGAAGGAAATGATGCATTACAAATTTTCTAAGATAGCAAAATCATTAAAAAGATGCTTAAGTGTATGCATATTTCATCAGATATTGCTATCAACATTTACAAACTAGAATTTAACAAGAGAAGTTATGATATTGTGTCAGCTATCGAGTTCTAAGCAATGGAAATGAAGGATTCACACTTGAACTCTAAAAGTTCATGCAATATACTGTTAATGCTGTGATTCACCATTCTGTGTGCAGTATCAGTCTAAGCCGACAACGGAAACTTCTGCAAACAGCAGAAATCTTTTCCAGATCTGCTCTAGCAGAAAACTTGATTCCTATAAAGCTAACCAGTCTGAATTTTCTGTTTAACTTAAAGATATATTATAAACCAAATTATCTCAATGGAAATGCTACTACTTAGGAGATGACTAAACTTTTTTATCTCTATTTTTCTATTTTCTTCACTCTAACACTACATGTTTCTTAGTTTCTTCAATCTAGTGTTAACATAAGCTCTTAGACAGCAATTTTGAGCCATTACACACCTTTTAGGTCTTTGCTGAAAAAATAGGGTTGGGTATAGATGTCATATCTAGTTTTGATCCATTACATACCTTTTAGAAGAAACTGGAAAAATAAACCTCTATCTGAAAGTACAATTTGGTACAGCTGATACAAGCAATAATATATTGAGTTCTTGACTTGCATGAGTTGGGTATACATGGCATATCTAATACTGACTGATGATATGAAAATGCACCACAAAGCATCTATAAATCTTCATGCTCATCATGTTATTACAAGCAAGATTATTTACAAGCATTTTCAGGTAGGCTATTTAATATCTAGTTAAATCTGTTACCTTCAAGATCAGGGACACGATTATATAATGTGGATTATACATTTCGTGGCACAAGAGGATCATAGTCATACGCTTCACCTGCTTTCACAAATCTACCTTTCACACGTTTCCTAGTGTCAGCCCTGGCTTTACGGGAAGCATATCTTATTTGCTTACCAAATCTGTAAATAAATAAAATGAAAAACCAGATAGGATTTTAGTTTAAGCATAAATTATCATATGATCACCCTGGCCATATGTGAACAAGCAACTATTCAAGCATGACTGAATACGTTAAAAAAATGCAAAACTGTTGCTTCCACCTAAAATGGAAAACTAAAGCATTAATCATTACGCAAAATGTTTATATTTTTATAGCCATAATTACGGCTTCAGTGGTGTAGGTCAACTTTAACTATCTTTTCACTATTTTTCTTTTTCCAGGAAAAGTAAAACAGTAATGATATTTACAAATTACTATTGATAACTTCGTATGTTTAAAAGGCAACCTATAAAAAACAGACACTAACATGGGTGACATCCCAAAAAAAGTTGATTTATAGAATATAGGATATTAATGCAGCATGATTTTCGGAAGATAGGAGAGACTAAGATCATGTTAAATAAGAAAAACTTCATTGTTAAATGCCCTTAAAAAAATGAACTACCTTGTAATCTATTAATGTGAAAACAGAATGTAAATGTCCCTTTCAGTGTAAGAAGGATAAGAATCATACGTCCGTGTTTTCTTCTTTTCATTGTATCTCATCTTTGCTTTTTGCCTTTCTTGTGGACAACTTCCTTCCAAATTTGATTCCCATAGCGATTCTCCATTTAGAAAAACAGGTGACAATCCACAGTCTTGATAATCAGCAGGGCTATTTTCCCCAGCAACATTGGATAATGAACGAGCCATGGTTGAAGGAATCTGACCACCAGGATATCCTAGATTGATGTTACAACCAGGATTCATAAGAATGCAATTGGAATTCCCGGTCATGGAAGCCATCATACTAGCTAAGCCACCAACTTGAGGGGATGGAGAAGGCACGCATTCCTTCTGTCCTGATGATGATGCCTGATAAGACACACAATAGTGGCATATCAACCATGAACTAGACAAGCAAACTATTATCCACTTCAATAAAGAAAATTAGATAAATCAAGAACAAAAATACACAGCTGCAGGTAAATAATACCAGTATTGTTTTTTTTTACAGAAGTTAATGATTATGCCTGACAAGTTAATCTACACGGGATCATGGAGCGAAGTCTTCATCCTAACAGTTATTAACTTAATTATGTTCCAAACTATGAAAGCCATGTATCAAAATTCTTATTCCCTTTCCTTATCATATTTATGCCAGTTTTTTATTTTGTAGAACAGAAGATAGTATTAAAAGTATAATTTGCACATAAAATTTGAAACCAAAGCAGTGCAACGAGTTGATTATTTCAAAAAAATGCTGCAAATGGAGGTGACTAAGGATAGGGTCCGCGGTTTTTATCATAGCACAAGACTTCATGTTCTAGACCTTACCAAGGGATCAGAAAAGCAATAAACTTTAAATGAATATGGGGATATGATCCTCAAAGGACCCTCCAAATACATGGAAAAAACACTAGAAAAAATGAACTTCTCGTGTCAGATCCATACATGTACCTAACACTCACACTAGAGTCAGAGAATCACAGGATGCACTAGATAATA